GTATGGATGCCTCGAACACATACCCTGCTGCAGGCTCTGTCATTGATCATTACAAGTGTCAACTTGATGGGATTAAGAAATGTCTGGGATGTTAGTGAGTTAGTGAGCTTCACCTTTGAGTGTGTCTATATGCTTCCCCCAAAGGATTAATTGAGGAGCATAATGTCAATCCTGAATGTGGGCTGGGTTCTCATGTTGAATAAAAAGGAAACACAGAGATCCTTTTAAGTATTTCCCTTTCTCTGTATCCTGATCCACAGAGATGTGAGAAAGCAGTCACCTGCTGCCATGGCCAGGACCAATGCCACTGCCGTGCCTTCTAATCCAGGCTGGATGGCATCCCCTGAGTCGTGGGCCAGATGAAATCTTTCCTCCCTCAAGTTGCTTCCTGCAGGTATTTGATGACAGCCAGGAGCAACACAAATACAGACACACGGCAGAAAGAGCCAGGGCTCTGTTTAACCAACACTGGTGAGTGCTCCGCCCCTTAGATACGAACAGTGTAACGCGGCAGAAAGCACTTGGGAAAAACACGAGCACAGAACGAAAAGGAGTGATCACACCTCCAGAGGAAGTTTATGATGTTGTGGTTCACGAGGAACGTCAGTCTCTCCCTCTGTTGTCAGGCAGCCATTCAGTGCTGATCAGAAACTATAAAATGTGATCACTTAACTGCAAAGAGGGAGTCAGAGAGGACTGCAGTAGAGATATTTAAGCAAACAGATTTTTAATCTAGATACTCCAGCATTCACACAGACACCCTAAAGCAAGTCAAGATGGTGTTTGCTTCATGGATTTTGCCTGCAGATGAAATTTTAACAGGCTGTGGGCTCCTCAGAGTTCCTGGGCACCTCCTGATGATTTCAGCATTTATATGCCAGATTTCTTAACAGAACATGCCTTTTATGTACACCGCAGGGAAAGTCTGCCAAGTGCGCGTGTACACACACACACACACACACACACACACACACACACACACACCAGAAAATACAAAAGACATCCAAATTGGCACTTTCCTCACCCCCTTTCCCCTTGCCTCATGTGATGTGCACTCAAGGAGTGAAATTATGGTCCTCAAAGGCAGGGCTGCAAATAATTGGAACCCATACCTTTCAAACAAAATGAAAAGTCAGTAATTTCCAGGGCAGCCTATGGATAGCTGGAGTCTAGCTCTCAGGTCCCCAAAGCCCACAGCCAACTTCCCTTACTCTCAGCAACCACCCAAGCCCCTTCCCGCCCACCTTGCCCACTTCGAGTCCCTTGTCACGCTGCAAAGAACTCTGAAAGGCCCTTGTACACTCAGGAGATTATTACAGGGCTAGAAGACGCCAACTCCGTAATTACAGCTGCTGTATGATTGTCATTATTCTCACACCCTAGGCTCGGTGGCTCACAAAACTTGCTGCAAAGTTCAGCTGCAGCCTCCAGCCAGCTAGGGCTGGGCCTCTGCCCAGAAAGGTGGCAGTGGGTTTGATAACCTCTGGGAAAAAGCAAATCAGAGTTATTGCAGGGAAAGGGGCGTGGTGCTCTTGAGCTATTGGCGGCGGGACATTCTATTGTCTAGGAAAATAAACAAATGGGCCACTTTCACTTTTTATTATTTCAAACAACAGACATGGCAGCCCTGCTTTCCTTTTCTAACTCAGACTGTCCCCTGGGCTGACTGTGCTGAGTCGGCAGAAGCAGACACCAGGCTTGAGCAAAGCTATTAAGCGGCTGCCACTCTGAACCTGTGGAGCAGAAAGTTTAGCTGCCTGGGCGGTGAGCCCCCTGCCCCGCCCCTGCCAGGAGAAGGGCCAGCTCATTCCCCCCATGCAACACCTCTACTCCTAGCTTTCAGATATTTAATGCCTCACCAGCCCCAAAGCATTGCTGTGGAAATTAAATATAACATCTCAAACTGGACTGTTCTCTTACAAACCCACCCAAGGGGAAGATGGGAAATGCCAGCCTGTATGTGACTGAGAATGCCCCCACGTTTCCCATTAGGTGTTGCCTGTCACCCATGCATGACTCTGCCCCTACATTCTGCCCGAAGGGTGGTTTCTGTGCGTTTGCTCCTGGGCTATGCTCACAACCACTCGTGGAGTTATGACATTGAGTCTCAGTGGCAGGGGACAGGCTTCTGCACTGTTCTAAATCATCTCAGACTTACAGTATAGCTGAGTCCAAAAAAAGTCTATTTTCATCAGTAACTGCCTGTTCCGTTACGTGCAAAGAACTCTCCACATTCCTGTCACTGGCAACGTAGTAGTCTAAACAACTCCAGAAATGACATAAAATTACCCCTCATCCAGGGGCTATTCTGTCTGGACAGCTAGTCTGAGATTCTTTGGGTTACAGTATTTTAGGGTAAAGAAAGTTGCTTCTCCATTATACTAATATGGGACTCACCAAAGAAAAGAGTCAAAGCACCCCTAAGTAATGGGAGATATCCTTCTGTGTGCTGTGAATATATGGTCCACTTATTGGTTGATGAATAAAGCTGTTTTGGCCAATGGGCAGGCAGGATTTAGCCAGGCAGAAAATCCAAACAGGAAGAGAGAAAGGTAATAGGTGGAATCGGAGAGTCGCAGTGTACCTACCAGGAAGGTGGGATTCCCAGGCATTCTCCAGTAAGATAAGGCCATGTGGAGATACACGGATTAATAGTTATGGGTTAACAATTAAGAAAGAGCCAGCCAATAAGGAGCCTGAGCCAATGGTCAAACAATTACAAATAAATATTAAGTCTCAGAGTGGTTATTTCATAATGGCTGTGGGGGAACTGATTGGGTGGAGAGAAATCGGTCCAATGAGTCTAGATGGAGAAAATCTCAGCAGCAAAGTGCTTGTGAACTTACCTTCAATAGTGTTTATTCTCCCTGTGGGAGTTGATGTAGCCAGTAAATAGACACTTCATTGAATGAATTGTATGGTGATTGTATTGGACAGTGTCTTACCACTATCACAAAATACCCAAGATAATTAAATTATAAAAGAGAAAGGGTGGTGTGAGTTTACAACTGAGAAGATTCCAGTCTAATTTCACTTGGCCTCATTGTTTTGGGAGAATGTCAAGTTGATACAACACGCAACATGTGATGGGAAAAAATTAATGTACAACACAAGTCAGAAAGCAAAAGAGGAAAAAGATAGAGACAGAGACAGAGAAATGCAGGAATGGGATTAGGCCATTCCATTCAAGGGCAAGACCTGATGACCATGGGGCCTTGTACTAGTCCCTATCTCCCAAAGATTTCACTGTCTTCTGCTAGGGCCAAGCATCTTACAGCTGATCCAAACGGCAGCATGCCTCTGGGAATCAGACTTCACTTTTCCAACACAGTGAGTAATAGCAAAGCAGAGTACTCCTGAAGAGCCAAGAGAGGTACCCACAAGGCATCTGACTATAGGAAATTCACAGGCTTCTCCTCTTGGCTGTACCTAGGCCTACTAGACATGTAGTCAGCAAGTTTGGGATCTGATTTCCTAGTACACTCAAAACTTGAAGCCTCAGGCTAAAAAAAGGGAAAGCGGTCCACATCTCCTACATTGACAAAGTGATGACTGGTAGGGATCATGGGAGAACCTGAGAAGAAGCAGGCAGGTGGCAGCAATTAGACACTAGAGCTATTTGAGGACCAACACCTTGCTGCACATTCTCTGGCTAACTATAGAACCCAGTTCAGCACATGGCTAGAAATCCCAAGGAACCACGACAGTGAGAAGGGATTTAATTATGCATGACACAGAAAGGGCGGAGGCCCAGGGAATATACAAACAATGGGTAGATGTACAAACACTGGGTAGATTATCTTTCAGCTGTGGCACTGAAGACAGGACAATGAAATGAAGTATGAGATTAGGCACACAGTAAGTACCATGTGTGCTTTCTGCTGAGTACCATGGCACTCTCGCAACAGACCTTGTTTTCTTTTCCAATTATTAAATAGTTATTTATACACCCACCACTCACTCCTGATCCTGTCTCACATGCCCTCCACACTGTCACATTCCAGACCTACAACCTTTGTTTGAATATCAAGTCCACATGAAGGAACTATTTAGTAAGATGGTAGAATAGACACATAGCCTTCTAGACTTACATAGAACATATCCTGATGACCATTCAGAGTTAATGCCAAGACACACATCAAAGGGAAAGGCGGGATCAAGGTTCAGTTGCCATCATTTTACATAGTCTAAATCACACAATGTTTGGAAAATGCCAAGGGAAAATTAAGTAAGTGCAAAAGAGCAACTAATAACCAGCCAACAGAAAACAGGACGTCTGGTTTCCAGAGTTAGAAAGACTTAGCCCCGTCAAAGACAGCTCACAATAGAGCCGCTCCCAGTCCCCTTGAGGATCCATGGCTGAGAATGTTTCTCATTGGGCAGGTACACCTGATAGTGCCATGGGCCAAGGTTGCCCATTGTACCAGGACAGGGGTCACAGGTCAAGTTCTCAGACCGTGTGATGCCATCCATCCGTAAGCCACTTCTGTGTTTCCACTACAGCCATGGTGCCCTCCTCTCACAAGCTGGCTCTTAGCCCCGTTAGCAGCTCTCAAGCAGGTCTGCACATTGCTCCATCTGTTCCCTGAATGGATTCCAGATGGATGCACCAGCCCATAAGGGCTGGAACAAGGGGAACAGGCCCAGCCCTCCCCCCCTCCACCTTCTCCAGCCACCTAGGCTTAATAGAGCCCTTGCCTAAGGGCACGAGGCCAAGTGGAACAGAATACACCATTTGGAGCCACCCAGCTAGGCCGGGCTAACAAGTCTCAGGTGCATGCCAGCTCTTGGGAAGGGTGAATCCACCCACTCCTGCAGCCTGATTCGCACACCAGCCTACAAATGAAGGCAGAGAAAGGACGCACAACATCTGTAACCTCAACAGCAGCGCATCTCCTCAGCGCAAGTCTGTCTTCCCGGCCCACCGGACGCACGACAGGGAGACACTGCGGGGAGAGACCATCTTCACAGCAATCAAAACGACCGCACCTCATTCCTACCTTCTTCAGCTTGCCACTTTTGGTGCCCACGAAGGCCAGAGAGTGGTTCTTGTAGACGTAGGCGATGACAGAAGTCATGCGGTCCCTGTCCTCTGTGAAGACTGGAATGCCACGCACCATTTCAGAGACTCCCAGAGGGGCATTCATATCCAGGCCGCAGAAGTTGTCATCAATAGTTAGGAGCTGAAAGTTAAAGGGAAGAAAAGTTAGAAAAGAGCATACAGAGAATGGCAAAGGAAACTCAGGAGCTTCTGGACTCCTGAGCAATGGACAATCTGTTCCAAATCCTTTTTTTTCTTTTTGCATGAAACACTCAGCTGAAAGGAGCTAAGTGATTTGTTCTAATTCCCCAAGTAGTCGGCTTCAAGCCTGAAGGCAGCAGCACAGGCATTGGAGGTGCTTCTCACCATGTACCACAGCATCTCCTCCAGTCCTTCTAATACCAGCCTGGTGGACTTGACTGCCCACCTCTGCGGTCACATGGAAAAGTTCTGGGCTAGCCCTCTGCAGGGCTACAAACACATGCTTCTGGTGCAAGAGAGAAGCAACCTGCATGCCCGTGTCTACACACTGGCTTTGGAGGAGATGTGCTAGTGAGGACTCGGAAGGAGAGAATGGAGTCTGGACACCTACAGTGAGGCCAACAGGAGCACAAAGACATGCCCAAATGATTAGCCAAGGACAGGGATTTGAAGGAGCCAGGTTTGTACCTGCCCAGGCTGCTGTTCTCAGGTTCCCTGTCTCCTAGAGCACAGTGAAGAGGGGCAGCCGTAGCCTTAGCATGCCTAGAGCAACCTTCCCCAGAACACTCACATCAAAGTCCCCTCTGATAACCTCCTGGGATGCAGCCTGACACAATGCCAGTCATAGGAACGCCCTTAAGAAGGAAGCTATCTGCTCTCGGGCTTCCCAAAACATCTCATTCTCAAACCAACCTACACTGCTGAGCACCCTCTAAATGGAAGGCTCTTCAATAGCCTGTAATTCAAATGACCCAATTCTCCAGACTCCAGGAAACAGAACCTCCAGGAGTCAAGGGTCAAAGGGGAGAGAGCTTCTGGGCCTGTTCCTCAATCTTTCCCCTCAGTCTGCACCCTTTCCATACCAGTCTTCCAGTTACTTTCAACATAGGGGACCCCATGCAACTGTGGGGTCCCCTCTGGGTTCTGTTATGCCCATGTGGGTAAAGACCTCTGCAGTGGGTGACAAGAGCTCTCACGCTCTTCTCCAGCAGGTCTGGGTTGGCTCAGGCTTCTCCAAGGTGCTGGGAACTTCCTGGCTTCTACTCCTTTCTTGGAGGCACCGTTGGCCCCAGAAGAGTTCCTCTGTCTTCCTGTGCTTTTTATTCTCCACATTATAAAGAGAAAGGACGCAGTCCCTGGCTTTTGATGGGTTACCATAAGGCCTGCTGGGCTCAGGCCTGTAAACGTCTTTGGACCTTCCAGAGGAGGCAGTGAAATAAAATACAAGGTGTCGCTTTTCTTAAAGGCTTAAATCCAGTCAAAGCAAGGGGCACCTGGGGAACAACAGGCAGGCGCTTGCCAGAACAACCCTGTGAAAGTGGCCAACTCAGCTCCCCGGGGCTACGGCTCTTTCACTCCCTTCCTGAAGGGGAACAGGAACAGGCATCATGGAGGGAGGACAACACATTGGACACTGCGAATTTCTTAACCTCTCCCCTTCTCCCACGTGTGGAACAAATGCCTGTCCTATGCCTTAGGTGGTCTCCAGCCTCTGCTACTACATGCATCGGGTCCAACAGCTCAGATCCAACAAAACACTCCCCTTCCCCTCTAAAACCAAACCAAAGCAACAACAACCAAAAACAAACAAACAAAAAACCACAGCAGTGAAGTTTTTGATGAAACTTCAAGACCTAGTCTCACCTGCATCTTTCTTCCTATCGTGGTGAGAGGATGCACGTGGTAGGTGAAAGACAGATGAGAGGAAGGAACGATCCAGGCCAAGACCACGTGATGCCTATTCCTTGTTCGATGCATCGATGGCAACCTGCCAGGTGTTCCCAGGGCATCCTGGAGGGCACAGACGCCTCACAGCCCGTGAATGTTGCTGATTCCAGTTTACCAAGAATCAGCATCCCTAATTTTCTTAGCCTACATCATTCTACAAGGATTCCTGCTACCAGTAAAGTCTGTATTCTGTCCATGTTGACCCATCTTCCAAGTAGCTGAAGATGAATGATAATCTGCTGTGCACAAGGGGAAGCCAGGACAGGGAGAGAGGGAGCCCGTGTGTCAGAGACCCGCACCACCATCATCTACACACCCCCAGTTAACCTGAGGTGAGGGAAATGTAGGCTTCTTCGCTTTTATCTAGAGGAACATTTGAATGGCCAGGGTTACACCCCTTAGCTTGGTGGAATGCAAACAAATCAGCTGCCACCTACAAAAACAGCCTATGCATTCAGGCAACTGTGTCATGAAGTCCTGCTGTCAGGGGGCAAAAAGGGGGATACCTGTGAGTCTCTTCAGCTGCAGCCTGTCACAGCAAGGAGCCCCAGTTGAGGTGTGTGTTTTACCAGAAGGAAGCTGGAGTTACCCAGCCTGGATGCCTGAGCTGGGGGCTCTGCTCATCCTGAATCACTGGACACCACATCACACAATTCCCTGTCCTAGTACTGTCCCTCAGCTCAAAGGAGACTGAAGATGCTGCTGGAGGCTTGTGACACGAGGGAAAATGACACCCTCCACCCCTGGGGCTCAGTTTTCCCCTCAGAATGAGACCCCAGATGATGAGGGTGTGATCTAGACCTTAACCAAGCAGGGTTGCTGAGGTTCTCCAGCTGTCCCAAGAAGTGCCCTTTCTTAGTTTCCTCAAAGCTGAAGCACCTTGGGGAAGGATTCTTTATTTCCACAGTGAAGCACCGAGAAAATATCAAAGGACAGGGTTACAGAGCTGCTGAGCTGTCTCTCTGGGCTGTAACTCGCCTGCTGTTCTCCTAGGCTCACTTTTCTGGGTTATCTAATGGGAAGGCGGGGCCCACATCCAGACTGGATGGGGCAGTGAACACGGCTACCTGTCACCTGGAAGTACTTCAGTGAGGAGGAAATCTTACGTGGATTTGTTAGTGGCAATCCAGCCTGGAACTGAAGACATAATGGCTGTGGGGGAACAGAGGCCTTTGCAGGCTCCTGAGTTGCAGTCCCAGGGTAATTACAGCATATGGGAAGGATCTGGAAGACTCTCCCTGCCCAAAGACCCACAGATGCCCATAGAATGCAGATGCCTGGGCTCCAGGCTAATTGGTGAAAACCTTGGGCAGGTGACAATATTGGGCAGATGCTATATATTCCTGAGTGCCTGGGTGATGTGGGTGTGGAGCATTTGCTCTGACCCTGGCTGGGTCTTTCCCCAGGGCCCCATTAACAGTATTATGAGAGCCACAGTCACAGGAGTCAGTACAAGACTAAGCTGTAATCAAGAATCTAGCTGTGCCTGCAGGCCCAGGCCTGGCCTCTCCCTCCAGTCACTCCACAAATGCCCATGGGCATGTTATAGTTGCCAGTGTGATATATCTTCCTCAGCACCCCCATTGTGTGTGTGTGTGTGTGTGTGTGTGTGTGTGTGTTCATGTGTGAATGTATACATAGGTCTAAATGACATATGGAAGCCAGAGATAAATATTAGATATTCCTAATAGTGCTTTCCACCTTATTTTTAGAGACAGAGTCTCAGGGTCCCTCACTGAACCTGAAGTTTATCAGTTCAGCTAGGCCAGCTGGACAATGAGCTCCATTCTTATAGAGCAAGGACATCATTCCATCACAAGGGAATGCATATGGGTGCCACTTGGATAATGCTGTTGACAGACCAGTGACATATTCTGTGTCTTCTCTCTCACTACTAAAGGGACATTTTCTTTTCTTTCCACTGTCCCCAAAAGTCCTCATAGAATGCATGGGATACAAATTAAGATGAGTGGCTCACTGCATTCCAGGGACTCCGAGAGTGAGGTGAATGAACATACTTTAAATATCTTTGGATCCTTAGCTTAGTGCCTGGTTCATAATAGGGTAAGACATACAGATGGTAAACAGATAGGTAGATGGATGGAAGGATGGACAGACAGATAGGAGGACGGATGACCAAATAAAAGTTTTCCTTCCCCAGTGGTTAACAGTATAGAATCTATATGGGTACAGTATAACATGAAGTAAAGAGAACAAGAAAAACTGAGTATTAGGAGATAAGAACTGAATGCTCATAAAGAAGACAAGTTATGGAAAAGAATATAAAGTTAATTGTTTTTCTAGTTCTAATTCGTCGTGGATCTTTTGTTTTTGGTGGTTGCTAAGTGCATAAAATCTATTTGATACTAAAAGTGAGAAAATTAATGTAAGCTTTACAGCTTCCATTCTGAATGCCAATTCTAACTAGATATAAGTTTGTTAAGTTGTATAAAATTTGGGTTTGGTTAATTTTGGTGAATTGTACTTTTTATTTGCAAATATTTTTAATAATAAATTCTATTTAAAAATGTTTTTCAGCATGTAGGCTATAACTTAAAATGAGTGATTCACTGTGTTCGGGGCTCTGAGAAGGAGGACAGGGTCTGTGCTTTATGCATCTCTGTACTCTGAGCTTGGTGCTTGGTTCACACTAGGTTATGAAACATGAGGTAAATAAATGGGTGAATGGACAACAGGGTGACAAACAGGTAGACAGACAAGCAAATAAAAGCTTTGGTTTCCCAGTGGCTAACAGTTTAGAACTAGGTTTGCCCATCTGAACTTCGTAACTGTGGGCAAATCATTTAACTAAGGTTTATCCTTGTAACACAGGAATTGTGATGGCAGAACACATTTCACAGCGCTGTGGCAAAGATTGGATCACCCAATCCAATGACAACACTGTCCACCACTCAGCAAACTCTACAAGAGCACTAGCCCTTGTTGGGGAAGTCTTATGTCAATAAAGTACTGTTGAGCCTATAGGGAACCAAGATGGGAGGGACTAGGAGTTGAGGAGGATTCTGGGAAAGAGAAAGACAAGAGAGTTCGAGATGTAACCGCATGGGGTAGGAAGCCGGGAACTATTCTCCGGTAAGAAACATACTTAGATTAACAATTATGGGGTAAAGCAGAGCTAGCCAGTAAGAGACAAGCAAGGCCAACAGCTTCATAATTAATATAGCCTCCTGTGTGTTTATTTGGGACTCATGC